AATTTCTGGTTACATTTTCATGCAGGTGTATTTGCAGTTCATACATTCCTTACAATGTGTTCCAAGGTTGCACACATCCTTCACATACTGAGATACTTCTTAACTGCTGAATGATTGCATAGAAAACCCTCCCTTTACATTTCACCAATCATTTTCATCAATTAAACACTTCCATCAGGAATTTTTAAGCTTTCTCCCAACCTTCATCCCAAACACAAAATAAATTCACAGTGAACTTCAGTCTTAAAGCAGTTTCTCATGCTTTTTCAAGGGAAATTCTCCCAGCAGGCTGTGGCAGTGTTTCCAATGATTCACCCTGCAGCCTGGCTGTGTGTTGAGGATGACAAAAAAACCCCAAAACCTTGTGGGTGTCACTCTGGGCTGCCTGTTTTGAGCAGCAGCAAACAAAACAGGACTAGAAGAGATCCCATGGCAGCTCCAGCTCTCCCACTGGAATTGGGATGTGCAACACCACAAATTCTCTCTGCATCAAATCTTGGCAACTCTGATTTAATACAGGGATTCTAAACTGCATCACTGTGCTTGGAACACTGAGCAGCAAAGTGCTTTTAGAACAAAAGGATTTGCTGGTGGTTCTGTGTGAGATAAAACCACCCAGGAAGTCTCATGAGCAGCAAGTCCCCAATCCCTGATTTCCCTCATCTCTGCTGCCATCCTGCCCTGCAGCTGGCAAAGTCTGCCTGAACTCACGGCTGGTGCAGCTCTTTTAAGAGCTAAAAACAAATGGCAACAATCCCAGAGCACAGCAGTGACTGGCAAATGGACACAATATGGAAAAAACAACCAGCCCAGCTTCACACACCAGCCTTCAAAATCATTTATACTGATAGATGTTTCTAACTGTGGCTTCCTTTGATTTATCAAGAAGTTACAGCCAAAATTACTGTCATTAACACATCTGGATCTCTGTAAAAATACCTCCTGCTCTAAGCATTTCATCAGACTACATGGTGTGTAAAGTGTAGGTGGAAAAAATCCCCCACACAACAGTTCTGCAAAGCATTGCAAATCTCCACTAAAAGGTGTGATTAACTCCTCAAGAACCACACCAGCTCAGTTTGGATCAAGTATATAAAAATACAGCTTTCCAAGGTGATTTTTGAAATGTTCTGTAGAATTGCAGGCTGTCAAAATACTGTGTCTGCCACCCCCATTTCTCTAAACAAAGCACATTTTTAGATGTGCTGGAGCTGGAGATAAAATCCTGCTGTGCACCAGCCCAACCACAGCTCAGCCTGAACTGCTCATACCATGAGTGACCTCAGCTCTCTGATCACCCTCAGCTCTGGGCCACTCAAAAAATCCCCACAAACTCACCAGCACCTGACTTTACACAAAGTCTGGCCTTAAAAATAAAACTCAACCAAATTTGAAAACTTGTACTTCAGCAGCAGCAAATTTTAATTTTACAATAGTCAAGAAAATGAATCATTTAATGGAAGAAAATTAACGAGGAGGATAGAAAAACACCATTTACTTAAGATTATTCCACAGTCTTAGAAACAGGTTCCTGGAGCCTCTCTCCTGCCAGCTACATTTATTTTCTTTTATTTATTTTCTGTTCTGAGTTGCAAGAGAACTACACAGCACTTGGAAATAAATTGTGTTTCTCACCTGCAATGTTTTCCCCAGGCCCATGCAGTGAGCAAGAATGCAGCCAGAGCCAGGAGATGTCTTGGTTTTTTTTACAGATTCACAGCAGCAGTCCCACATGAACTGAACACCTGAAGAAAATTATTGAAAGTTTTCTGATTAAACATTCATTTTATTACAGTTCACCCAGTAAGAGACAGCTGTGACCACTGAGAGCATGGTAACTCTTAGGAAAGCATCTGTCAGGATAATTATTGATTCATTTCTGTTCAGTGGGGTGCATGTGGGATGATCTTTATCATGAACTTCATTATATTCACAGCTTCATTGAAGATGTGGCAACTGGGTTGGAAAATATTCCTGTGAGGATGCAGATGGCCTGATCCTGGGGACAGGGAGATGAGAAGACAAATTCTGGTTTTGCAAGTGAAGGAGTTTTTATTATTCTAATTCAGTGTGCATAAGGTGCTATGCCCCTGGAGAGAAAAAATATTCTTTTTTTTTCCTTTAAACTCTTTCCTTACCATCTACTTGGTGTGGTTTCAGTCTGGTCACTATACTCCTGTGGACCTGCACTAATGGTTCTTTGGTTTCTTCATCTTCATCTAAAACCAGCTTGGTTGTGATGGGACATTTCAGAGGTGAGGCATCTTCAATCTCTATCACCTGCAAACAGAAAAGGCCATCAGAGGAGCAACACCCAGCATCTGAGACACTTCAGATTCACCAGAACTGCAAGTTATAATTTATTTACTAAAGAGAAACCTTCAATTCTTTACTGCATCACAACTTTGGCCCTGAAGTGAAGCAGCAGGGACCTGAAACAACTTTCTAAGGTCACAGCATCAAATAAAACCGAGTTCAAACTGCAGACAATTTGGGGCTTATAAGGCTGCATGTAAGGGATTCTCAAAAATTACTCATCAAATTACATTGAGGTTGAAGTTAAACATCATCAGGAATTCAAGTTCACAGAATTTTACACAGAAACCAGACCATACCTCTCTCAATTTCTCTCTCTCCCGTTCTCTCTCTGCGATCCGTTTTCTTCTTTCTTCTTCTTCTTTAAGTGCATTTTGTGTTTCTGTTCTAAGCTTATCATCTTTAATAATCTTCCTGATCTTCTTCCTGCCTTTTCCAGGAGATTTGGAGTCATCATTGTCCTCGTTCTCAGAGTTACTCTATTAGAAATTAAGTGAAACACAAATTAGCAAGAAAATTATGGCACAGACCATGAAACCATTCTTTCTTAGACAAGCTCCCAGAAATTCTTACACACACAGGGGAAGTTCAGCTAATGAGAAAAAAGCCTTTTTGAAAAGTCTGACAAAAGAAGTGCCACCTTAACTGTAATGTATTCTGAGACATCAAAGATAAGCCCAGCTGTGCAAAGGCAGTACTGAGGGCACTGTTATCATTTGATAGCAGCTAATAATGATTATTAGTAAAGCACTTTTTTTGTTGTTATACTGAGGCTAAATCAGATCAGCCCCTACTTACACCACACAGGAAAAGAAACCCCAACACTACCAAAGCCTTAATCTGCAATTTCTCTCATCTACATTTAGATTAAAAATTCCATTTGCTTCAATATAATGCATTTTTATCAAGATCAAGACAGGAAAAGTTTTAGTTCAAACATAATGTTTTACCTCCACAATGGTGGCATTTTACAAAATTTTAGCCTGAACTGACATTGAGAAAAGCTTTATTTTTTTACTGTACTTTGTGCAGAAGTGTTTGAGATACCCTGAGCAGAAGAGTCAGGAAATTCCTATTTATTACTTCAAAACATGACAGAGCACCTTATTCTCATTTTCACTGGATGAATCCTCTTGAACCTTTATCCTCCTCCGTTTCTTTTTCTGTTTGTAGCTGCGCTGGTTTTCCTCTGCCTCAGCTTTTTTGGCAGATCTATTTTAAAAAAGCAAAAAGGCAATATTACTGATTAACCATAGTAATCCTCTGCCTCACTGAAAAACAATTAATTAATAATTAATTAATAAGATATGCACTCCTTTTGTGCAATTAGGGCTGAATTTAGAAATTCCTTCCTGCTCAGCCCACTGGACACCCAGAGCAATGAGAAAACCCTACAGAACCTCAGAAATATAAAGCATTAATTTTATACTGTGATCCACCAGCTGACAGTGATGTATTTGGCATTAAAATGTCCATTTTTTTGTTTGTTTTTTTTTTTTTGTACTGGCTCATCAAATTGTTGTACAAATTCAAAATTCCCCACATTTGCTGCATAAGAAATTAATACTCTATAATTCCTACAGACAAATATCATCAAGGGTTTTAAGAACTGCTCCAAAGTGCTTTAACTTTTACCATCTCCCTGCACAAACTGCACCATTAAAACCCCAAATAAACCCAGGGTAAGCACAGCTCAGCTCTGCCCATACCTTGTCCTTGGCCTTTGGTCATCCTCAGACTCAGTGACCTCCTCACTCACGGCAGACTCGTGGAACTCTGAGTCATTGGAGTCATCACTGCTCACTGCAACAGAAAGCAGCGTTTGTTCCATGTGAGCACCAGGGCAGAGGCAGCTGCTCCTCCCTGCACAGCAAACTCTCCAGCACTGCCAGCGTTCACTTCACACCATGTGGGGATAAACTGGTTTATACTGGGATGAACTGGGAGCGACAGGGGGATACCAGTTTATACTGGGAATGAACTGGAGGGAATTGGGTGAGACTGGGATGGACTGGGATGATACTGGGATAAACTGGGTTATACTGGGAGACCCTGGGAATGGACTGGGAGGGAATTGGGAGGGATTTGGGAGAGGAATGGAAGGGACTGGGTTATACTGGTTTATACTGAGCAAGACTGGGATGGACTGGGATGATACTGGGATAAACTGGGTTATAGTGGGAGACCCTGGGAATGGACTGGGAGGGATTTGGAATGGACTGGGAGGGACTGGTTTATACTGGGAAGGAACTGGGAGAAAACTGGGATTTACTGGTTTACACTGGGAGGGAACTGGGAGAGGAATGGAAGGGACTGGGTTACACTGGTTGAGACTGGGATGGACTGGGATGATACTGGGATAAACTGGGTTACACTGGGAGACCCTGGGAATGGACTGGGAGGGAACTGGGAGGGATTTGGAATGGACTGGGACGGACTGGTTTATACTGGGAAGGAACTGGGAGAAAACTGGGATTTACTGGTTTACACTGGGAGGGAACTGGGACAAACTGGGATGGACTGGGATGGACTGTGAGGGAATTGGGAGAGGAATGGAAGGGACTGGGTTATACTGGTTTATACTGGGCGAGACTGGGATGGACTGGGATGATACTGGGATAAACTGGGTTATACTGGGAGACCCTGGGAATGGACTGGGAGGGAACTGGGAGGGATTTGGGAGAGGAATGGAAGGGACTGGGTTATACTGGTTTATACTGGGAAGGAACTGGGAGAAAACTGGGATTTACTGGTTTACACTGGGAGGGAACTGGGACAAACTGGGATGAACTGGGATGAACTGGGAATGGAACTGGCTTAAATGGCTCCAGGTGTGGGCGGAGCAAAAATGGGCATGGCCTAAAGAAGGTGTGCGATAAGTGGGCGTGGCCTAAGAGGTTGTGGGTGTGATTTCTGGGGCACAGAAAATGAAAAGTTCAAATTTAAGCACCAGCTGAGGCCTGGTGGGTGGCTCACTGTGCCTCAAGCCTTGAGGTCCCTATGCATGAACATCTACATTTATTTTAGGAGCAAATGGAAGAGAGCATTAAATGATGGAGACCTGTGGGGAACAGTATGGAACCTCAAAGGGGATTTTTAGTTAAACAGAAGATTTTGTTTCAAATGCTTTACATGTCATTTTATAACCATACTTGGAGAAAAGGGCTCTTATTTACACACAGAATATAAAATTGCATCACTACATTTATGGCTTGGCATTTCTTCAGGTAGTGCAAGCTCAAAACTGCCTCAAAAAGCAATTAAAATACACCTAAAAGAGCAGCATTAACAAGAATCTCCCAGCCACTTTGAGGAGCTATTCCTGGCATTTTTAGGTAATGAAGACACCAGTGTGGTATTTAACACCTTGAATTTCAGCCTGACCTTGAACACAGTGGAAAGTTTAATTGTTTAATGAATGACAAGGCTTAAAACATGAGCTGTTCTACATAAACGGGGAATGGTAACATTAATAACATAGGGCTAAAAAGGGCAAACTGAAATCAAATATATTGTTGTGTTTGAGGGCAGTCAAGTTCAAAGGCTTCCACTGAAGAACCCTAAGATGAATTTACAGTTATTCCTCCTGCATGGAATGCTGTAGGTAGGGCTTTAATCCTATAAGGGAGGAAAAACATGAATATCCAAGTAGATAAAAATTAGAGTTTTCACAGAGGAAAATTCTAAACAAATCACATTGCATCCTTTATTTTGTGGAAGACCCCAAAAGCTGGCTGCCATTAGTGCAACCCAGATGAGGGAAGGCCAGTGCAGCTTTCCTGGCCAGGAAACAGCCCCAGGCTCTTTGTTCCTCCTGCAACAATGCAGGGCTCCTTTCACAGTGCCCTCTGCTGCTCAGCTCCAGCCTGCACTGCAATTCCAGCCCTGACACACTCCTCAGGCACTGCTGCCTCTCCAAGAGAGAAATTGCATAAAGGACATGACTGATTTTCCCAAATTCAGACATCCTGGCCTTGCCTCTGCTGTTTAGGATGGATATTCTAAGATACCACAGGATTAATCCAATTCAAAGGACACAGCAAGTGGTGAGAACTGCTCTTGGATTTGACATTTCAAAGAAAACCATTTATCAAACAAAGATAAGGCAATGCTAGATTTCATATACAGGGATTTTAAAATCACAAATGTTGAGATCTCCATTCTGACAAGCTCTGGATTTTACAGAAGCAAGTACTTTTTATGACCAAAAAAAAAAGGATGTGGATTATGTACCTTTCCTTCTATTTCTGCGCTTCCCCCCTTCTTTTTTGTCTTTTGGTTTCACCACCTTCTTTTCTTCTCCAGACTCCCCATCACTCACAGTGAGCTTCTGCCTCAGCAGCCTGTGTCTGTATCTGGGCTTCTTGGATGTTTCTTCCTCCTCTGAGTCTGAATCCTCAGAATTATCTTCTTCCTTTTCTGCCTTCTTGTCTTCCTTTTCCTTCTCTCCTGTCACACACGAGAGTCAGTACCACATGCATACCAGTCACTTTCTTATCTTATAAGAATTAAAATCTGAATTAATTTAGGCTAAATCCTGTGCTTTTCCAGGGAATCACAAGCACCAACATACCAATTTCCTCCAATATTTAGTTTTTCCCACTGCCTGAATGCTTGGAATGCCTGTTGCAATGGCTGTGTTAGCCAAACCTCTCCTGTGCAGGACTTACTGTTCTGTACAGGTAATAACTCCTCACAAACCCCTGGGACTTCTTAATTACAAAACCCAGATTATGACAAAAAAATAAACATAGAGAAGACTAAAAGAGATGATAATCCTCATGACCCTGCACATTGGCCTCTATGTGGCAACTACACATCGAAATCAGTAATATTTTTTGCTGAAAACTTTAACAATCATCATTTTCCCAAGTGACCCCTGAAATCATGACAGGGGCCACAGCACCACTTTTTCCCAGATGCTTTTTGGTGCTTACCATCATCTGCTGTGCTCTCAGTTTGCTTTGTGGGTTTCTTCTTTCCTTCCTCTGGCTGCTCATCTGAAGACGTATCCTCATCAGAGGAAAGATTGGCTTTGATTTCTTCTAAAAGCATTTTCTTGGCAATTCTTTGAAGTAAAACAGAAAACACTATTTATTCCATTGTTCAGGTAAATGTATGAACGACAAGTGTAACCCTACACCATTCAGAACTTCAAAAAAAGGGCTGAAAGCTGAACAAAAAAAAAGACGCGTGATGAAAAGTCATTGTGGCAAGACAGGATCTATCAGCAAAAATCTCACATTAATGAAATGTGTTGACTTGCTTTTAGAAAGCAGGTTTGTAATAAAGCTTCTTAAAAAGAGAAGTTTCCTGCTTTACAGCAGACTTGAAATGGTTATAAAATGCACAGATTTAGAGATTTCATTTTATTTATGGTCTAGCTGGATAACTAACCACAAGCACTTGCCTTACAGCAGCCCTTGCAAAATCCCTTCTGTGTTTACACCCAAAAAGTCTGACCAACACTACAGGACCTGAATTTCAGATAAAAATCATCATCTTATTTCCTGCTCCACAAACTGTCCACTCAGCTTCCCTTGGTTTCACTGCAGAACAAGAACAAGCTAATGCACAAGTGACTATGGAAAAATGATTTCTTTACATGCACTTGCAACATAAAAATCTTCTGAGTCTACCCAAGGCAGCTATGTAAAAAGCACAGGAAACAGTGGAATTAGAAGTACTTGTACTTCCAGGGGGAAAAAAATAAACCAGGTTTTTCTCATATAAATATCAGGAATACTACATTTTCATTCTCCATTTTCAATGAAATATGTGTTTTCTAGGTGAAACCTCATGTGTCTTGCCTTTTGGGAGAATCAATGCCTGCTGTGTGTACACAGCTCAGTCACAACAGCTCAAAGCCATGGAACTGAACCACAATCCAGGCAAAGGAACAGGGATCTCTCAACCAAACCTCCTGTACAACAGAAAACTGAGCTGTTGCTCCTATGGAGCACCACAAAATAGGCTTTCAATAATCAGTATTTCATTTTCCAGCCTGCAGTGTGTCCCTAAAACACAATCATTTTTCAAAGGGACTCTTCCCAAGCTATCTTTCCTGACACTCCACACAGTATTTTCTAATTTTTGAGCAACAGTGCAGTTTTAAAAAACACTCTCACACTAATTTATATTCAGTTATTATTAAAAGATGGAAGCAAAATAGTTAAATAAACATTTCAGATTGCTCAGTGAGCCAGACCATCCATCAGCACCCAAAACACTCCCTCCCCCTCTCTCTTGAGAAGAAAAAGCTGATTAAAACTTTACCAAGCAGCGCCCTTGGAGAACTTTAATTCCACATCTATCAAGAAATCACAGCATGAACCCAAAGAAAACTTACTAAAGTCCACAGATAAGTAACATCCTCTTCCAAACGCTTTTTGCATTAGGTCCTCCCAGAGGATTTTTGGAAAAGGGATTTTAGGGTTTGGTTAAATGCTGATTTTTTAAAAACCCAGCAGACCATGTGTAACAGCAGCAGAAATAAACAGCTCCTCATATAAGAAACTCAGACTGTATTTCTTCCATCTCTTAATGGTCAGAATTTTTCTTCAAAATAAAACTGCTTGGGATGTCACAGGCTGGCTTCCCTTTAACAGCTTTTAACCTAAACTATTAACCTGGACTCCTACTCCAGAAAATGCAGAGAGCAGTGGTCTGGCTACTTTTCTTGTTTAATAAAAACCCAGAGTTTTGGAAGAGGAAAAATCTAAAAGATCTGATAAAAACATTGAAATTGTATCCTGAAAATCCTGCCTTTGACTTATTTTGGCAAGTGCATTAGCAAGGTTAACACAGCTTGTGCATGGCAATACTTACCTCTACACAAGTCACCTTTAAAAGGCTGACTGTGGTTCTTAGCAAAACCAAACCTTCATTTTAATTTGTTCTTTAATGAAGTATCTATTTTTTAAGAGCTATAGGAAACAGCAAATGTATCTAACACCTAAAAACACCATGCACAAAATCTACCATCCATAAAGAGACAATGCTCTCATTTTCCTATTAAACACCAGCATAACCAACAACCAGACTGGGTAAACTGATTCGTTTCTAATTATTTATAATAATACTGATTAAGAAGTTATTGCTATGATAGAAAAGAAGTTCTGGTTTTTATCTAAGATAAACACTTAACCACTTGCAACCAAATTGAGTTGGGACTGTTTGTCAGTGAGAAAAGCTGCATTTTCTTCAATGCATTTACTGGTGTGAATTTAGGCCAGAAAAGTGAGACATTATGAAGATGTTCAGGATTTCACAGAAGCCCATTTTTAATTAACTACACATCTGATAGGAATGGTAAGTGTAAGCAACATGAGACCCAAGGAGATCAGGCCTTGTAAATGCATGTTGACAAATGACTGATGTAACAAATGGTTCACATGAATTATTATAAACTGAGCACAGGACTCCTGAAGCTGGGTTTAAATTAAACCACAAGAGATGTTGACCAGGATAACACATCATATTTCTATTTTATGATAAAACCCATTTAAAGTCACCAGGTTTCTCAGCTAAGAAACCTCACATAGTAGCTTTAACATTTTATATTTGCATTAATAGCAGCAAAAAAACCCAAGCTATGATAGTGTGAAATTTCCCTCACTCATATTCTTCCAGAGAAAACCATGGAAATCAAAAGGGACTGTAATATTTCCTCAGGTCAAGGACATAAAAGATTCTTGGCCATTCAAATGTAACAGTTGAGCACCAGCAATGGATTCAATTAAGAGGCACAGAGAGCCACATGACCTCCAGCACAGGGTTTCAGGCAGTAAAAAATAAAGCAAAAAATAAAATAAAATTTTAAAATCCCTGCATTTTACTCTTTCCTGCACTGATCTGCTGAGACCTTGAGCATGTCATGTTGCCCCACTCATGTGATCTAAACTTATGGTGCCATTTGGCTGAAGGGACTCTCCCAGCACACATTTAGCCAGTGCCTCACACAATGGGGCTGCAGCCTCAAGCAGGACACACAAAACCAACTCTAGAATAAAATAACAGCACATATGCACAGCTTTGTATCAACTGGGATTTAGAGATATTTCCCATTTGTAAGAACAGCCCCAGCAGAATACACTTCTAAACAATGAACTGATGACTATGGATTTTTAAGTCGTGCTAAAAGAAAAGAGTTTTCACAAGAGACAGACTGGAAATTACCCAGGGGTTCTTGGTTACCCTGCAGGATGACTTTAAAAGCTCCTTCAGACCTTGCAGCAGAACTGGAACAGCAGGTGCAGCCTCTCATGGTGTGCAGTTAATTTGCACCATTCTTGTTCATGAATTTTGCAGTGCCAATACAATGGTTGATTGTTCAAAACCTTGGTGAGACAATGCTACCACTGTAAAAATCTTTTTTCTTAAAAAGCCATGATTTTAAATTTTAGTTCACCATTGTGATGTTTTATTACCAATTAGATTCCATCAACTCACACTCAGTGTTCATAAATACCTACTAATCATATGTAGAAATAAGGTTGCCTGACACAAGCCCTTGGGTGGGGGAGCATGTTGGGATGTTGGCTAATAAAAGCCACCAGAATTCCAGTTAGAGCATTACTGGCTTAAATGGGCCTTCAGGATACTACTAGAAAACTCAGAACCCTTTAAAATATATTTTAAGACATTAATATTTGGATGAAATGTCATACATGTCTAAAAAAATGAGTGAAAACTGCCAAACACCTTTTGCTAAATACTGTGCTGTCTTTGTTGGGAGAGGCTGATTTTCAAGCTGTCAGAGTTGGATTAAATTAAATGCTTGGACAAGAAAAACGTTTTACAAAAATTTATTGTAACCATCAAATACTTAAAGGCATTCTGCATTTAATACACTATTAACTTCTTAATAAACAGAACTACTGCAAACATATCAAACAGTACCATTGAAAAGATCAGAAGGACCAATAATAAGTTACACAACAGAAGATGAAAGCATACAGCACTGTATAGCATAGTATGACCCACTTGGATATTGCATTTTGGCAAAAAGATGATTTCAAGGCTATTAATATTCATGTCATGCACATCCTCAGGTATGCAAATAACAGAACATCTAAACTAGAGACTTGCAAACAGGAGAGTTCCCACACTACAAACACCCAGCAGGTACTAGGTACCCTCTTTGGCCTGGAAGAAAATAGGCAACTTCTCTGAATCAGTAGGTAAACTATTGAAACACTTGGTGTTGAGTAAACAGAAGAACAAGTTTTTAACTTCTCAAAATTTGTTCCATCTTTTTACAGTTTATAGCTCTGATTGTGGTGCCAAGTACAACACATGAAGAAGGTAAAGTCAGACTGCATTACCAGGTAACATGTCTGAAGGTTGACAACACTGTTTATTGACAAAATACCTCCCCATCTCATATATAGATGTTCAAAAGGTCCTCTAAATTAAAACTTAACAAAGAGGCAGCTTTAAAACAAAGTACAGAAACTGATTTTTAAAGCCCGAATTTATATTTCTGTTTGTTATTAATTAGGTTCATTTATTTCCCAATATAGCTCTTAAGCTAAATAATGATTGAGTTCTGTCAGAAACGTTTGTGCAGTAAATACTGAACTTCTGACAAAAGTGTATTGGTTTAGTTATCAACCAGAAACTCACAACAACAAAAAAAAAGAAAAAAGAAAAAGAAAAAAATGAATTAAAACAGGACTGAAATTAAAGCATGATTTAAAAAAATCTTGTTATATCAAAGTTTACATGTTCTGCTTATGACCCTGTGCTGTCAAGTCCCTACAAAGCATCTTTCTTTAAAGAGCTGAATTACTGGGTTAAATTTGATGACTGAAAGCACACAAGAAGGAATTCAGCAGCAGCACTGTGCTGCCAAACTGAGGTCCGTAAAGGAGATAAAACAGTGTTTGTAAAATTTACTTCAGCCACATCTCAAAACATACAACTCTGTGAAACAAGGATTCCATATTCTAAACTAGTAAGGCTCAGAAGCAGAAAAAGACTCCACCAGCAACTGGTCCCACACATGCTACATGGCCAAAACAACAACAAAAAAATCAGTTTCTGAAACACTGTATAAAAATTTGTTGAGCAGCTCTTCAGTCTAACTACAGTAATCACTTCCAAAAAGAACCTGTGGCTCGAGTTGAGTGACACTTCATGTTGTGCATTTAGGAAATGAAGCTTTTACATTTCTAGCCAGGCTGATTTTGGTAGCTACAATGGTACTGGTAAAATATGACACGTCTTAGCTAACTGTATCTTACAGTGATTCTTTTTTTATTAAATTCCAAACTGAAGCAATACATATAAGCCACAATTCTGAAAATATCTATGCAAAGACTTAAAATATATAATTAGTCTCTGATACCAATTGAGCCTATGCACAGTGCTTGTAGAATCATGGCCTTAACTCACATTAGTCACTTCAGGTGCTTTTTAGTGGATTAAAACTCAGTTAAATTAACAGCTGAAAATATCTAATATGGTTTTCCCCACATTTGTGCTTTCTCTTTATTGAGAAAAGGCGTTTCAATTAGAAAAGCATATTAAGCAACAGTAATAACCAAATTCATTCTGAAAATATTGCAGCACTGCATACTGCACAGATGCAAACTGTCCCCTTCTACTCCCCACAACTAGCTGAAATTCACATTTAGCAGCAGCAGCAGCTTCTGCCCTGCCTGCCAGCCCCCTGTTCCCACTGGGGCTGCAGCGCTTTGGGATCGCCCCCAGCCAGGTGTGTCAGCTACCACCTCTAGACATTGCCTTTGCACACCTGGCTCTACCACCTCTAAACGTTTGCTTTGCATTCCTGGCTCTGGGCCTCTGTTTTCTGGCCCCGTGTTCACACTTGCAGGAGGCCTGTGAGCGAGTCTTTACCGGGCAGGCAGCCGTGCTTTTTACCACCTGCTTGCTCCTCCGTTGCGCCGGCTCGCGCCCACGCCTAGGCTGTGCTCTAATCGTTTTTATGTCCTTATGCAGGGTATCATACCTATTCTCAGGGTCGTCATCATCATCATCTTCCTCCTCCTCCATTGGGATAGTCCTTGATAGAGCATCTCCCTCATCTCCTGAAAGAAAAGCCCAACAGAAAACATTTAATAAGCGTAAACGGTAACGACGATACAACAAAACAACGATAAACAAGACACGACAGCACAATATGAATTGCATTTCTATCAACTCAATATCAACTCAATGTTTCCAAATCCCCATTTGAAAACAGCTTGGTGATACCACTTCTCTACCAGTTACCTGTCTTGACAAATAGAAATAAATCTTTGTGGTGGTGTTTGCACAGGTCTCAGGATGAGGGAAGAGATGAGAATCTTAACTCTATATTTCAGAAGGCTGATTTATTATTTTATGATATATATTATATTAAAAAAAATTATATATTAAAACTGTGTTGGGAATTTAGCTGCTAAGGACTGGAAAAGTACAAAACTGTGGCTAATTCCAAGTCCTGCACCTGCACAGATAGCAGTGTCCTTGGGCCTAGCTGTGG